GACATTGCAGCAGGCAACTCTGAAGGTGAACCTGAGCAGATGTGGAAGGATCTTTGGCAATGGCAAGGACCCAATCGGGTGAAGTACTTTTTGTGGCTCGCAACACATAATCGTCTCCTCACCAACAAGGAGAGAGAGACGCCAGCTCATGAACAACGGGAACTGCAAGCACTATTCTGAAGTGGAAGAATCAGTGGAGCATATTCTCAGGAATTGCAATAAGACGGCGGGGATCTGGACATTCTTCAGAGACAAAATCAGGGAAAGAAACAGGAACGTGGACTTTCATATTTGGCTCACCAGCAACCTGCGAGCAGAAGAGACCGACATTGACTTCGGGCTTATCTGTTGTATCCTTTGGAAACAAAGAAACGAAGAAATCATGGATGTGAAGACCTTCTCGAAAGAGGGAACAATCCACAGGATTAATGCTTGGCTGCAAATCAACAAGCATGCTACTGAAAACGTCCAAAAAAGCCTTCTGCCACCCAAGAATAGAAGAGAGACACAACAGATTGGTTGGAAACCTCCAAGGGAGGGGTGGCTGCAGGTTCAGACTGATGGCTCGGTCGACACCTCGACTGGGAGTGCTGCTGCTGGTGGATTTTTGCGCGACCATTGGGGCAGATGTAAGGGAGCATTCACCAGCAACTTGGGAGCTTGCTCGATCACAACAGGGCTGAACTCAAAGGGGCAGCTGAAGGACTTGAGTTTGCCTGGAAAGATGGATTCAAGAAGATTGAACTCAACCTTGACTCCCTGGCTGCTATTTCGCTTATCAGAAACAGGGAGGACACTGATCACACCCATGGCTCACTTGTTGAATATATCAGTAAAATTTTGGATCGAGAATGGGAGGTTGTAATTAGACACATCTATAGGGAGAGCAATTGTGCTGCTGATTCCCTGGCCCGTAGGGGTCATTTTGGTCCTTTTGGCACGACAGTAGTCGATTCTTGTGACTTAAACTTATGCTACTGGTTGAACTACGATACCATGGGAATTACCATGGATCGGGATATCATTAATACGATTTAGACTCTGCTGGAGTCCTTTTACCAAAAAAAAAAGAAGAAGAGGGGAATGAGAGAGTGATGAGAAGAAAAACGAATGGTAGAGGAAGATGCGGGAGAGGAAAAAGAGGAAGAGAGACGAGGGGAAGGGGAGAGTGGCGAGAAGAAGAACGACTGGCAGAGGAAAATTGGATTAAGGATTAGTGTTTTCAAGGCTGGACCATCATTTAGTTTATAAGTTAGGGTCCAAAACAACGTTGTTTTGTGGGATCAGGCGGGGATGGGGTGGATACTAAGAGATCAATCATCACCCGTTGTCCGCTACTATCGGGTTTCGGGCATACCGGATCCGGGCTTTACCCTCGACAGATGGTTTTTTTTAACCTCCGTCTGGGCGGGTTTCGGATGGATACCTGGCGGGCCGGGCAGGATTGCCATCCCTACTCCATACTTATTTTTTAGGATTGAGATTGTGATTCATTATGTTGTGTTATTCGGTATTCATGATTACGAGATTTGGATTGATATATATCGAAATATCGAGAAACAAGGAAAATTGAAAATCAATGAAATATAGCATACAATCGTTGATCATTCCTCAATCCTCACTCTTTCACAACTCACAAGTCTCCATCCAACTCAATTTTTGCTTTCAAGTTCAAGTCATTCTGGTCATACCAAATCTCTTGTTATTTTAATAACACCAAAAAGCAAACACTAATAATAGTAGTCTCTCAGCCTCCAATTTGTTGAATTACGTATTACCAATGACAAGAAATTGTTATGTCACATCTCTCCCCTTCTCTTTATTCATATCCTAGTTCTAGGCAAATTTCAACTATTTACTTAGTTTCTTTGCCCTAAATTAAATAATCAGATCTAATTTATATATTAATTATAAAGCTAACTAATTTTGCATTTGATAATATCGATCAAGATAATAGAGTACAGATTGGGATTGAGATGAATTTTAGAGTGTAATTCTGAACTCAAGATTTTGGTTTTCGTTATTGGAATATCGTGATCATATTGATTTTCACCCTAGATTGCAATATGTGTATTGTTGGTTTGTTTTACTTCAATCGAAATTCAATTGTGTGGTTAGAGGTTAATACACATAGCATAAGAGGGTCCTTTAATAGGCAAGGTTGTCACATGACCTATTTTGTGGTTAATTGTTAAACCACTCTAAGTAATAAAAATTTGTATAATTAATTGCTAATAATTGTTTTAAAAAACAGAACATGCTAAGCTAAAGCCAACAAGGAATTCACACTCAAAGCTATGTCTGATGACTGATATAAATGGCGAAAACCAACCCCTAATAAACCCTACCCAACATGTTTTTTCCTCTTGTTCCAATACGACAAATGGAAAACAATGGCGACCCTTGTCAATGGCGATGCGGCCCCTGCTTGCACTAGTCCCAGGTAACAACCGTCAGTTTCTCAATGACGATGCTGTTACGTGTTATATTATTGGAGGGTCTATTATTGTGGCGGTGGAAGCCATATTGCCTAGGGCTGGAAATTGGTTTGTGGTTACCCGTCCCACATTTTGCGGGTACCCACACTCACAAATTTACAATTATGTTATTCACAACTCGCATCGTAGTGGTTAGTGGGTAATCACTACTCATTGTGAGTTTGTGCGGGTTGAGTGTGGTTACCCACAAAAATTAATCTTTGCAAGCATAGAGTTCTAGTCGTCACTAACGTATTTGTTGTTCGTAACTAGACTATAGGGATATACACTTGTGTTGTTCGTGGAGATACAATTTTGTACATCCATCTTACTCAACGTGGAGATTTTTTCTCTTTGAGTTTGGTATTCAACTTTTGTGTCAGAGAGCTGTGATTTCATATTTCCCCGACTAGGGGTGAAATATGACAATTAAATATGATCTTGTATTTTTTTCACACAAAAGCAAAATCATACTGATAAAAGTTACAAAAGGTGTTCACTTTTAATGAATTGATTATTCTCCACTCTATCGGTTATAGTGTTTTATAAACTAAAAAATTCTTACATAAAACTGATTAGGTGTGTCTTTTTTATTTGATGGCTACTTTAATTTTTATCCTCGCACTTCTCACATACTATTGTATTATAAAGTTAATTCACTAAATATATATAATTAGTGTGGTTTTGTGGATTTTGTGGGTTAGTCGCGGTGGGCAGTGGATAATCACTAACCACCAAAATCATTATTTTAATACCCACACCCAACCCACTACCCACAACTTGTGGGTATGGTTACCCAATAGGTGCGGGTTGCGGATTATCCACAACCCGCAACCCAAACTTCCACCCCTAATATTTCCTATTGGGGATCAATCGATAACCGACGAGGATAAAAGAATCTATTGACGGGGTCACGCCCCCTTGTCTCCCTCTGTCACTTCCCAATCACAGACGAGCACTAATCGACGACTAGCATACAGGGTTGTTTGGCTTTGCCTTTTCCCGTCTGTCGCTAGTAACAAATTGGTTTAGGGTTTGTTGTGTCGTCATGCCCGCTCTTGTTCGTTATCACTGCTCTTTCATAGGTGTCAATGGGTGTCAAGATGGTCGAGGTAAGGGTCTTATTAAATCCTCATTGCTCCAGCGCTTTAAAGATTATCATTGTCGCATGTGAAGCTACGACACTTGAGCGTCAAACTCTTTCTAATAGTTTGATGGTATTTTCTAATGTTGAAACTACTCTAAAGCGAATGTGGGTTTTGTATTTGTGGGGTATGCCTTCGTACTCACGCCTTCTGTTCTAAATGTCGGCATGATGAGAATGTTTTTGTGGAGACCCTTGTCCGTTTTATTATTTATGATATTCCTAGTCCTCTTACTCTGTCTTCGGAAGTTCTCTCATATGATGCTAGGGTTGAGCTTGTGGGTTGGTCTATCTCTTTGTTTGACTATTTATTCTCTATGGGTCTTCGCACCGTGAAATCTATTCCTTCTAAGTGTCGTCTTGGGTTTGCGCGGGCTCTGAAAGGGGCATTGGATGATGTGGGTATTTCTCCTGGTGACCTCTCCTGCTGGGTTCGCTTACTTGTGTTGCCTCATTGCGTTCTTAAGACCTTTTCTCCACGAAGTAATCTTGAGTGTCGGTCTGGTGTTAGGCACCTTCGTAAGGAGGAGAGTGATGCCTTGTTATGTTGGGGGGGGGGGCAGTTTGCAGCTTTTGCGAGAGACTTTAGATGAGGTTCCTCTTTCTTTTGATGTGGAGGAGGATCTTGTTTTGGGTGAGCTCAACCTTCGGCAATGTCAGAGGAAGATTTGTGATGGGCATTATACTGTTGTTGTTCGGGTGCTTTCTTCATGCGGTGTTGCCCCTTATTCTGATGCCACTCTTGTGGCTCCGCAAGATAAGCATCATGTCGTCTCATATCCCTCTCTACCGACCTTACTTGTGGATCATCATCCTCTTGTTCCCTCTTCACCCATTGTTTTGGATATGATTAGGAGCTTCCTCGTGGTACATCTTGCGCGAGGTAGGTTTTCGAGCTCAACATCTTATGGATTGTTTGGGTGGCATTGATGTTGATATCTCGGATGATTTGCTAGCCTCTAATATACTCGAGTGGTTACTCTTTTCCTTGAGGGTCGATGTCTATAGTCTCTCCATGAGTACATTGCCAGCGCTCCGCTCACGCCACTTGTTAAACCACGGCTGGTATCCGTCCTATAGTTGTTGGCACTATTTGGAGACATATTGTCTCTAAGGTTGGTGCTTGTCTTGTTGGCCCTACTTTATCTGGTCTTCAGTTTGGGATTGGGATTTCTGGTGGAGGAGAGGGTATTTTGCATGCCTTGAACCGGTTCATTGAGGCCCGTGGTGGTGACGTAGGTCTTTCTATGTTGCTGGTCGATTTCCAGAATGCTTTCAATTTAGTTGATCGTGGGCCCATGTTTCAGGAAGTTCGCTGTCATTGTTCGGTTCTGTCCCTATGGGTAGAGTTTTGGTACTCTAGCAATGTCAGGCTGTATTATGCGAATCATAGTTTATGGTCTTACCAGGGGGTTCAACAGGGAGACCCTTTAGGACCTTTGCTTTTTCTTTGGTGTTGCATCCTTTAGTGTGCAAGATCAGAGACTCTTTTGATATGAGTATGCATGCTTGGTATTTGGATGATGGCACCGTTGTGGTGGACGCTTTAGTTGTTGGGAAGATCTTAGAAATGATTATGGATGAAGGACCTCGATTTGGCCTTCACCTAAATGTGGGTAAGACAAAGGTTTTTAAGTCTATAGAGGAGGATCCTAAGATTCGACTTTCGGGTGTTTTCCCCGCCTCTATTACTCGACCTTCTCATGGTGTCACCGTTCTGGGTGGTCCTTCAGTTCTTGTCCTGGTTTTAGCAGTGAACTTGTGGCGAAGAAAGTTACCAGGACCGTCGAGATGATGGACTTGGTTGCGAGGATTGATGACCTATAGTGTGAGTTGCTTTTGCTTCGGGCTTGTACTGTTATTTCTAAATTCTACGTTGCTTTGCGTACTTGCCCCCCTCGTGTTTTTGGGCCAGCCCAACTATCTCTTGACACAGCTCTTCGTTCTAGTTTAGAACGTATTATCAGTGTTTCTTGGCCCAGGTTTGGTGATTGGCAGTGGAGGCTTGCCACCTTCCCTTTTGATTTAGATGGGTTTGTGGTTTATGTTGCTGGAGATGTCATGCATTTTACTTTTTTGGCATCTCGTTTGCAGTATACGAAATTTCAAGCTCAACTCCTAGATCCTTATGGTATTCTATCTTCTAGCCCTACTTTTGATGACGTTTATGCCCTACGCACCATTAATGAGTTTACAGGTTATGATCTATTACGTGACCCTAGTGGAGTTGCTGCCCTAAAACTTATGACGAAATTGGCATACATATATTTCGTGAAGGTTGCTGCTGCTTCAGATTCAGTTTTCTCATTGAGCGTCAGGTTGTTTTGTGGAAGTCTCAGCGGAGTGCATACATATCATAGTGTGATTAGTTATCCATTGAGTGTCTCGTTGTTTTCGGTATCTAAGCCCTGTCCTGCTTGTTCTCGTGTCTTTCATGGTGATGCCTTTGGGGATCATGTTGTGTCTTGTGCTGGTACTGTGGGCATTAAACATCAGCATAACCTCGTTTGTGATACCTTACATCTCTTACATGTCTGGGATTTCTCGGTAGGGAGGTTGATATTGGTTTGGTTGATGGGCATGGCGAACCCACATCCTGCGGATTTGCTGCTTTATTTCTAGGACAGGGGGCGAGATGTGTGTTGATCTGATTGTTTCTTTTCTTTTGACTAAGACTGAGATGACTTGTTTTGTGTCTGGCCTCACTCATTTGCAATCCTAAAAAAGGTGGTCCTTCTGCAAATTATGATGAACATCACAAGTACTTTTTCCAATGTTATTAAAACCGAGCCGATCCGATCGGTAAAACCTCCACTCGGATGCCAAACTGGCTCGGAACAGCCAAAAAACTGTGGCGGCTTTTTATAGAGGTTGCCAGGTTGGTGAGTAGCCGAAGCGATTAATCGCTTGAGCCGATAGAGCCGGGCAACCGATTTTAGCACTCCAACAGTCCGAATTCAAAAAAAAAAATGGAAAGGGTTTTCGGGCGGGTCAGATCTTGGGGCATGGGGAATTGAAATAATTAATGTGGCTACTTCAATTTTGTTTGAAAATAGTGAAATGAAAGAAGAAAAAAGGGTAAGAAATGTCTCTTCAGTCTTTTTTTTGGGAAACAATTAATAATTATTACTATACTGTCATAACTCATAATTAGTGTTGGTCTGTTGGAACATGGAACAAATGAAGAACCAAATAGAGCATCGGTTTATATTTAGTTGACTTTAGGTCTGAATTCATTTAGTTTTTTCTTATTTCGGTTAATTAAATTGATAGATTAGATTATTCTTTTAGTATTTTTTTATTGAATCTTTGTTAAATATTAAAGTATATATATATGGGATAACTACGGTACCCTGGGTGAAATCCAGGGTACCGCATACCTTTTAGTAAGAAAACGTTATTCAGAACTTGAATTGACTGATCTTTCGGACATGATACTACACTCTAACCCTTAAAGATCAAAATCTAGGTCTTAATTCTCTAAATCGTATACCACAAGATCAATTTAATTAGAAACAATAATCGACGGTTATGATTCGTCCAAATATAGGTAAAAAAATCAATTCACCATCTTAGGGTTTATAGATTATGATTTAGATCATTAGGACCTAAGGTTCACTCATTAAGGGTTAGGACATAGTATCATGCCCAAAAATCCTGCTAATTCGAGGTGTAGATAGCGTTTTCATACTCAATGTATAAGGTACCCCGGATTTCACCCGGGGTACAGTAGAAGGCACCATATATATATATGGGCAGTTCTACGGTACCCAGGATGAAATCCAGGGTACCAAATACCTTGAGTATGAAAACGCTATCTAGACATTGAATTGATTGAATTTTCGGGCATGATACTATACTCTAACCCTTAAAGATCACAATCTAGGCCTTAATTCTCTAAATCCTATACCCCGAGATCAATTTAATTAGAAACAATAATCGACGGTTATGATTTGCCCAAATATAGGCAAAAAAATGAATGCCCCATCTTAGGGTTTATAGTTTATGATTTAGATAACTATGACCTAGAGTTCACTCATTAAGAGTTAGGGTATAGTATCAGGTCCAAAAATCCTGTTAATTCGAGGTCTAGATTGGGATTTCATACTCAAGGTATACGGTACCCTGGATTTCACCCGGGGTACCGTAGAAGTCACCATATATATATATATATATATATAGTAACTACTTCGATGCACTCACAAAAATGAGTACGTTCAATGCACCCAACTCAAAAACTAGTCTTAAGGTGTCGGATTTTGAATTTTAATTTGTAGAATTAATGTAATATGATGATATAACATAGGATAACAACTAATTAGCGGATTACCCTAAGCCCTAGACCTCCAATTTGGAGTTCTATCCCTAAATCCCAAATTGTAAACCCTAACCCTAAATCTTCAAACTCTAAATTCTTCAAATTAAAGTAAATCTTCAATGGTTTTTGTGCAAATTCATGAGCGTTATTGTTCATCACATCATAAGTGATGATTGACATCATTTTGACATGAATCGCATGTTTAAAATGACGGTTATGAAGTGAGTGCACTGAATGCACCCAAAAAAGTAGGTGCACTGAAGACGCCACCCCATATATATATAGATTTGTTACATGTAGAATTTAGGGATCTGCATGTTTTTTTTAGATATGATAGATTTGTTTGATATCAATGTATTCATGGTTAAGACTTAAGAGTGTTTAAGAAGTGTGTAATATTTGTAATATTTTTATTATTAGGATCGGTTTACTAACGATATTTTAACGGTCTAACACCGGCTAAACCAGTAAAGCATGAACCGTTCACTACATCAGTTCATACTTCGGTTCGGTTATGACAACATTGACTTTTTCTTTGAAAAAATGTATTTGTGAGCAATCTCACAAGTACTTTAGAGAGGTCACTAGAAACATAGAATATGATATTTCTCCAATAAACTGATTTATTTTTGAACTTGTCGATCCATATTAGTAGCGAGATTCTGCACAAAGGAAATTATGTGAAGTTCCTCGAGTGATTAGTCTTAGTGGAGTCGAAAATCCAAAGATGGTAATCTCCAAATAACTTAAGTAGAAAGAACACGAGTAGAAAAATATATACTATATGTATGAAATATAATTTAATAGAGTATTCTATATAATATACACGGGATATATAAGCGAACTATACATGAGATGGAAAGCACAATAGTAAACACACTTCTTTAAGCTTGTTATATTTTATCTATACTAAGGTATGTTGATATAAAGGTTACATATATAGTAAATGTAATGGAAAAAAACTTAACGAAGCATAAGTAGTGACGAACATGTGTATATGGAAATAGGAAGACAAAATCACAATAATAATGAAGAGCAGAAGTACTAAATCCTAAGCAATAGAACTCGATATAAAGTTGAACTCCTAGCTAGAGAAGCCCAAGCAAAATTGGAATTCGCCATGTGCCATGTGGCGAGGCAACCTACATACAGCAAATACCCAAACGAGGAAAGATTCCAAGGAGATTGGAAAAAGTACATATGTTATGTGTCAGAAATGGAGGCCATATTCTCCGAATCTCACTTCGATGCTTCCAAATGTGCAGTAATTAAGTTGTTGGCTTGTAGCAATTGCAAATGAGAGAGGGAGAGATCCCTTTCCCAAGTTGTCATCATCATCACGACGCTAGAAATGAATGAGAAATCTGCATTGTTGGAACTCAGAATTATGGGGTATGTGTTGGTTGTTCTTCGATCACTCATTTTCTTTTGCTCCCATCTCCGTACGAAATATCTTCCCTAGAGATTCAAACAACCAAAATTGGTATCTACCATGGGGAGGTAGGTGGCTCTTTGATCTCAAACACTAAAATTCGACGTGATATAATTGATCAAGCTCATTTCTAGCGTGATATAATTTCAACGTGATATAAGAGATCCCTTTCCCAAGTTGTCAAATTCGACGTGATATATTTGATATTAGTGGCAGAGCCCTGAATTGAAACGAGATGTGTCATTTTTTCATAATATAAACTATTTTATCAAACATTTCATTTATTCGTATAATAAATTAATTTGTGCAATCGAATAACAAGAATGGAGATATATAGTAGTGACAAAATACTCTTATGTCACGTCTAAGGTGACGAGGTCAATACATTCCATAAGTTTATATGAGAACCCTCAACTCAAGTCAAAGCATAAAAACTTAGCAAATTTAGACTTCCTTAGTTGAAATTGTATCTAGGCGCCATTGGGTCGCGTTCAGCCCAGGGCTTAACTGCTTAAGGTCTTATTGTGTTGTGTCCGACACATTCCATTATTTTCATACCATGTCGTGCAAGTTCATGTCTCAAATTTGTTTGGTTTGACCTAGGTTAGGCCACGGTTCGAGTTATTCTAGTGTCATGCTTATATTTCTGTATCATTGGAAGAAAGAAAAAAAATAGGGAGTATAAAGAGAGTGATTTAGCATCCGCACATTTTTTGTTCTTTTCGAGTATTTTTATTTTTGGTATTAATCACACTGAATATTTCTATGGTCACTTTTAAAAAGAGCATTTGATGATTTCTGTATTTTTATTTTAATTTTTGAACTCATGATATTATGTAAATTTATGACGTATAAATTATGTATCTCGTATGTATCATTCCGTGACTATTCTCGCTTGAATCCTAAAAACGTAATGGCCTACACGACCCTTTTAAAAGATCGAATCGTGTTCATGCCCATACTTGAGCTCTTATATTTCCTTTTTGTAGTCGTGCTCATGTCATGTTCTAATTGTCTTATAACATACTAGACCCGACTTGATACCCAAATACAATTCCTATGAAGTTAGGGTTTGTGAATGATCAAATAAACAACTTCTTACCCAATTATACCTAAAATAATACTACATTTTACCCTTTTTTCCTTGCAACTTGTGCCGTTACAATTAGTGATGGGAATTGAACCTAAACCCAAGGGTTATCCAATCCGACCCAACCCAGTCAAACAGTAAAATTCATATTGACGCGTTTTTGGTCGAATGCGAGCTTTACTCGCTTTTGAAATTGGTGGGTTGAGTTTGAATTTTGCCATAACTCCCATTTCCACCAAACCCCACTCATCAAGCAAAACGACGTCATTTTGTATATAAACGGAACAATATGAATAATTTATAAATGTTATTAGTCTTTACGAAAATATTAACCTATCAAATGGCCTCAACGTGTACCATATTGGAACATTGAATATCTCAAGCAAAACACAAAAATTTACCGTCCACTATAGCTACTATACTTATACATAACATATAATTTCCTATATACAGAACCCTAATTATAGGGTGATCCCACCAGAAGCTGAGTGAGGTGAAGGAATTAGGATCTAAATGCCATCATAATAGCCACCAAAAGTGACCTGAGCCCTTGCAATGGGAACCCCTCTCACTGCTGAAATTGCATCATTGAATCTTGTGGCATGCTGAACCACCTGCTTTACCCTCTGCACACAATGATCGCAATTCCACAGATCAATCAAAGGAAAATGAGAGGAATAAGGATGATGCCACTTGCCACAACTACAGGAAACACATCACTTTCTTTCTCTACAATGGTTTATGGTTCCCCACCACCTATTCGGCCATTTCTCTGACAAAAAAGATAGAGACTTTGGAGTGTTCCACAAACATGGTAAAGGAAGACAATCAGCAATAATTCAAGATTCCACACAAATAGCTGCAAACTTGCATCAAGATACCAAATTCTGCAGGATACCCCTCTATGATTCATGAATGGCCAAATTATGCAATAAGGACACAAACGCTGATCTAAGAAACATGGACATGGGTACAGGAAAGGTACATAGACTACCTAAATTATCAAAAGGGGGAATTTAAGTAAGGAGCAAACCTTGTCATCAGTGTAAATCTGGAACCTGATCTGCTGCTCCCTCTTGTGCTGCTGGTTCCTCTGATGATTGCCAAAGATGATGATGCAGACAGTTGCGGCAGCAACCCCAAATGAGCAAATGGCTCCAACCCCGTGCAAGCTCCACCTCCAAATGTTCAAACCACCACCACCACTATCACCATCCTTACCACTGCCCTCATCCCACCCAATTTCGTCCTTCTCCAAGCTTGGATCGTTAGTAGCACCGTTGTCTTCAAAGCTGAACTTGCCAGCACCAAATTTGGGGGAGGACAAAAGGGATGACGGTGGCGATGACATAGTTGGGGACTTTGGGGAGTCCAGTTTCATGTCGACAAATTCATTCTCCTTCATCTTCTTGAAGAAGACTTGGGAAACAGAGTCCTGATCACCACCACCACAACCAACAGCAACAGATCCAGTAAAGCTTGGAGCTTTGCTAATTTTTGGGATGACCATCATCATCCTAGTTCGAGAGCTGCTGCAATCCGTGAGCTGTTGCTCCTCCTGTGGTGGGCTCGGGTGATCTGTTGGTTCCAATTCGATGGGAAGCACAACCCTTGAGATTGAGCTCTTTGGCGGAGAAGATGGGCAGATGAAGTAATTCATGTCTAGCACGCTATAGTTAGGGCTCATGCAAGAATAGGAAGGAGAAGAGGTAGAAGAAGAACCTCTCCTTGATGATGATTTTGCAGGGGAAGAAGAAACCCTGGCACCGCCATCGTCATGGAAATCAAAGAAGCTTGCGTCTCGGGGAAGAACTTCCCACTCTTCCAGATCCATACCTCTCTACTAATTGGAAAAAGAAAAATTGTGGGTTTTGATGATCAGGGGATAAGTGAAAAGGGTTTCGGGTTATGACGTATATATATATATATATGGGAGCTAGAGGAGTAATTTTCGGGGGAAATTATTTTGATGGTGAGTGGGGTTTAGACTTTAGAGAGTGGAACTTTCTTCATGGCAAGGAAGAGCTTGGAGATAAATGCAATTAGGTTGTCGTGTAGCTTAAGGGGGAGTGAATCAATGGCGGCCATTGTTGGGAAGGCGAGAGAGAGGGGGAATTGGGGGAATGACTCTGTTGGCTGATAGTAAGCTTGATGAAGAAGAAGATGAAGAAGAGAGAACTGAGCTTATCTTTGGGGGGGAAGAGGACAGGTGGTCCATCAGTTTCTTATGGGACCCATTGATTCCTTGCTTGATTGGCTTTCCTTTGATATTTTTTAATATAATGCTAAATCAGAATATTAACACAATCCATCTTACTTTGCTTTTTCCAATTGGTTGTTAATTTTTTCCCTATAATTAATTGGTTGTTAATTGTAATGATGAAGATTGTGTAGATTTTACATTATTAATTGGGGATTGGGAAGTGTATAGATAGGATACATTCTGGTCTGATCTGATATGGGGACAAGATGGGATTCAGAGACTTTGTTCAGAGTATATGCATAGAATTTTGTTGTGGACTTATTGTACTGAAATCCAAATTAGTGGCAAACCTTACAAATGCATGAATTTAGAATAGTGTTAAATGTTAATAAGTAAGTAGATTATTGTCGACTTTAAGGTTTGAAGATTGCGGTGAATTTTTAAGATAGTGAATTTCTAAAATATTAATTTTGATAAGGATAATTATAATGGCTAAACCAAACCATTTTTTTTATGAAATCATAATCAGGATCTTAAGAATGTGTTCAGCTATAGGTAAATGCAATTTATTAGTCAAATTTTTCAAATTTTTCTAATTATTAGTTAAATCTTTCAAAATACAAAATAGAAAAAAGGAGTCTCCCTTTACTTCGGAGTAAATGGTCTATTTATTGCATTTACTAGGGTATGTGGGCGTTTAATGAGATGGGACATGTTGTCAGTCCTAAGCGCAAGGACTTAGAGAGCAGCAGGAGTGGGCAAACTGTTGTTTATCGATCATGATGCAAGCTGGATGAATAGGTGTGGACGTGCCACGAGTTCGATAATTCCCCCAACAACAAGCATACCCCTCTCTTTAAAAATCATTGTTGGGGTGTGGTTAACCCGTTCACATAGAAAATTGGCAAAACGACAACTTTCCTATATAGTGGGATTAGTGTTAGCACCATACCAACAAATTAGATGTTAGCACTCTAAAATGAACCTGAAACTCAATGACAAAGTATTTTTATTCTTGAAACTAGTCATTCAAAACTAGAAGTGGCAAATGGATTGGATTCATGGATAAATGGATGGGAATTGTGGAATTATGGATTTGGATCGAATGAATTGGTTGATTAGATTCATGTATCAAAGTGACATCTAAACATTGGACCAATATATAAATTTTGAAAATTTAAGATACTAAAATGCAATAATAAAAATATTTAGGTACACCAATATTAATTTTTCAATGATATTTTTGTTAGAAAATAAATTTTAGGTATGACATAAAATATAAAAATATATAGATACTAAACTATTATTTGTCAACAATTCATGAATCAAATCTATAAACTCACCAATCCAATTGAATTTGAATTAAATATATTGAATTAATTGTCTATTTTAAATTGTAAGTTGAATTAACCTAGTGGATTTGATACAAAATTTCACCTACATTAAAACAAGATTTTTTTAAACGAAGTACAAAATTTCTTTAATGGGTTAAACAGTTAACCAATATAAATTATTATTATTATTATTGCATAAGAAAAAGTCTCAGCATCAATCCATAATTTATATAATGAATAAACATACAAAAAATAAAAATAATAATTAACTCTTAACATAAATACATGCAATGAAGCATCCAATAAGCAGATTGTTACTCAAAGTATGATTGATTTCAGAGGCGGGATAAGGGATGTGGAACTAATTGACCATAAGGTTGCTGGGAATTGGTTTACATGGTCGAACAAGCAACAGGCAAACCCAATTGCAAGAAGGATTGACAGGGTGTTAGTAAATGAAGTTTCGTTGGAGAGATTCAGCAATAGTTCAACAAGCTCTAACCCCCCAGGAGTGTCTGATCATTGTGGCATAGTTCTAGATACAAATCCTAAGTTGAATACACTTCCTAAGCCATTCAAGTATTTTTTATTCTGGCAATCCAATCCTACATACTTGGACATTATTAAGCAAGCATGGCAGAAGCAGGTGACTGGCTATCCATATTACATTTTGTATGGGAAGTTACAGAGTGTCAAGCAGGGTCTTAAGAAGCTTAATAGAGATGAATATTCAGATATTACTGGCAGAGTGAAACAGGCAACAATTGCTTTGGAAGTTGCTCAAATGGCAGTATTGACTGATCCAAAGGAGGAGCATGTAAAAGCAGAAAAAGAATTTTGTTTGGAGTATACGGCATTAAAAAAAGCTGAGGAGCTATATTATAAGCAGAAGGCTAGAATGAGGGCAATTAAAGAAGGGGGACTCTAACACGTCTTATTTTCATAAGACAGTAAAGGTCAAGACTCAGAAGCAGCATATCACTCGTATGATTAATGACCAGGGAGAAATCAAAACCGATGTGGCAAGTATTGGGCAGATTGCCGTGGATTCTACACTCAATTGATAGGTACGGTGGATCCTAATGTGGAACAACAATCAATTTGATATTATCAAGGACTCCTGCAACACAAATTATCATCTGATGAGAGGGCTATGTTAATGAAGGGGATCACATGAGCTGAAATAAAACAAGTGTTTCGATCGCTTGGTAAAGACAAAGCTCCTGGACCATATGGGTTTCCAATAGAATTCTATAAGGCACACTGGGACATTATTGGAAAGAGGTGGAAGAGGTAATACTTTCTTTCTTTTCTTTTGGAATCATGCCATCGATTGTGAATAGTACCATCTTTACTTGGGTAGCTAAGTTGCCTTGCTTAGAAAAAATGAAGGATTTCAGACCAATTTCTTATTGTAATACCCTGTATAAGGGAATATCTAAACTACTATCCAATAGGCTTGCATTCGTTCTTCCTAGCTGATAAGCCGTTAATTGCACATGTTTTTACCCCTATTCTGGAGCCGTTTGGGATGGTAATTCTCGTGTTTTAGGCCTATTTTACGCTAGGTTGTGTTCCTTTGTCACATTTCAGGCCCTAGCACATAAAGTGAAGCGTAGGCGCAAGTTTCAAATGAATCGGAGATCATTTTGACAATTCGGGAGAAGAAACACGAGCATGACCTGAGGAATAATGGATTTCTACCTCATATTATGGACAAATTATCATGGAAGTTTGTTATGAAAAGAAAGAGGACGAGACTACGAGCGTCTGGGTTCAAACGGCGACTGATTTGGAGTCCGGACGAGGGAGAAACGAAGCTTTGAACAGGAGCGGGAGAAGAATTACGGGCAAGAGAATTACGACCGTATTTTCACCTCCCATGCCCGTATTTTCACTGCCGAGAGGAGATTTGGGTGCGCTGAAACTTAACCAAAATGCGTGTTTTGAGCAAAATACGGGCATGGAAGAATTACGACCGTAATTCAGCCCGTAATTCGCCCAGAATCGGGTTTTTGGGGCCAATTTCGAGCCAAGGGAGAGGGAGAGCTGGGTTTTGGATCCCAAACACCCAAGGGATGAAACCTAGAGAGAGAGAGCGACTGGGGAACACTCTTGGAGCTATTTTGGAGGATTTCTTCGCCATTGGAGCTCGGGAATCAAGCTTGGAGATGGAGATTGAAGATCTAGATCAGATTTCTGCAGTCTCTCTCTTCTCTATGGAGTAACTTCCCTTCACTTAGGTTTTGAGGAACCCTAGTTCCATGAGTTAGGATCTTTCTTGTATGAAGTTTTGGATGCTATATTGTTTGATTATAATCGAATGATGCATGTTTATTGAGTCAATTGAAGTCTGATAAACTTTTCCTGATTTCTGCTGCAACCTGAGATAGATAGAATCTGATTAGGTTGTTAGAGCCTCATCATTCGGTAGCAGGAGATTGGCTATACGAGAGTTAGCCAGTTTAATGCTTTGTACTGGAATCCAATTCCAGTAGTGGAGTTCTGTTCTTACTGCTTCAGCTTTCTATCCCGGTGAAGACTAGTCGTCTGTCGGGTAGTTAGACTGAGAGGGCTTGGTCAGCTTAAGAGATTCCAAGCTACTGTCGGATCTTCCACAGTTTAATCAACAGTAAAACAACCAAAAGGAATTACAACTTGGACCTAATTGAGGAGCTAGGGGGAATCATACCTAAGTGAGTTCCCAAACTGTAATTAGTAGTTTTACTTAGTTTAGTTAGTAGAGTAGTTTAGTTAATCAATCCTTAATCTAGTTTGCTAGATAATGAACTGAAGCTGAGTAATAGGAACTCTAGAGACCCGTGGATTCGATATTTATTACTTGTGCCACTATACTGCAGTCCCTTTCATTGGTTACACTTGGCCATTGTTAGGTGTTGTGTTTTAGAGCATCACTAGCATTATTAATAGATCTCAGTCTGCTTTTATCAAAGGGAGGGTAATTAGTAATAATGTGTTGCTACTATCAGAACTTGTTAGGAATTATCATCGAAAGAACATCACCCCAAGGTATGTGGTCAAAATAGATATAATGAAGGCTTTTGACTCTGTTAACTGGCAATGTCTATTCACGGTTATGGAAGCATTGGGGTTCCCTCTGGGTTTTCTAAAGTTGTTGTCTGCCTGCATTACTACACCAACTATACGAGTCTCTATTAATGGAGGTTTGTGTGGAAATATTAGAGCTTGTAAAGGGCTGAGATAGGGAGATCCACTGTCTCCCTATCTATTTACAATAGCAATGGAGGTCCTTGACTGTTTAGCTAGGAAAGCTGTGCTAGAGAACCAAATACCATTTCACCCTAGATGCAGATCGCTTATGATAACACATTTGTATTTTGCCGATGATTTGATGATGTTCAAAAATGGACCAGTTAGCGGGGTTGCTGGTATTAGAAGGTTAATGGATGGTTTCTACAAGTTATCTGGCTTGAAGTGCAACCCAGCAAAATGCCAATTATTTTGTGCAGGGATATCAAAAGAAGAGATGCAAACTTTATTTTCCTATACTAAATTCCCTCTAGGAGTTCTTCCAGTTAGGTACTTGGGGTGCCATTGATTACAGGGAAGCTCACAAGGACTGACTGCCAAGTAATTGTGGATAAAATAACTCAGAAATTGAGGAGCTGGCGTTCTAGGTTGTTGAGCTATGCAGGAAAGATTCAACTTATTTCCACTGTAATTTCTAGTACTTTGCAGTATTGGCTAAATATTTTTCTGTTGTCTAAGTATGTAATAAAGGAAGTTGAGAGGCTTTGCACTGAGTTTTTGTGGGATACAGCCGAGGAAGGTAGTAGGAAAAGGACAGTAATGGCTTGGGACAAATTGACGCTGCCAAAGAAAGAAGGGGGGATTGGTATTCGAAATTTCAGTATCTGGAACAAAGCATGTGTTTCAAGACATATCTGGGAGATCTTGACCAATGGGGTTCTTTGTGGGTTGCTCGGATTTCCAAGTATAGATTAAAGGAGAAGTCAATCTGGGATGTTTCAGAAACCTCTGCATGTACTTGGATCTGGAAAGGATTTCTAAAGTGTCGAGCATTGATCTATCCCTGCATATCTGGAACTGGTTCTAATACTCTATGGCAAGGGGAGCAGATGTCTAAGTACTCTGTGACAAAAGTCTGGAATTCTATTCGGCATCATGAATAAGAGGTTCGTTGGTGGAAACTTGTATGGGCTCCAGAAGTGATTCCAAAACATGGCATGATTCTTTGGTTTGCTATGAAAAATAGACTGGCCCCACAAGATAAATTGTTATCTTGGGGGAAACCTGTTTCAGGACTATGTGTAATGTGCCGTGGAGGCTATGAAAATAGGGTGCATTTACTTGTGAACTGCTCTTACACTGTATTTGTTTTGCAGCAAGTTTTGGGTAGTAAGTCACCTCATGTAGTTGGGGATTGGGACGATATTGTGAACTGGTGTGCTGAGAGGTGGATGATGAAGTCCGCAAAGCATTAGATGTGCAGGTTGCTATGGAGTTCGACCCTTAGTCACATATGGAGGGAACGATGTGCTCGGATGTATGGAACTAGGTCTGCTAGGCATCCGAAGGAGGTGGTGAAGGTAGTTTGTGATGAGGTTTTGTATAGAGTACATGAAGAGCATGCCCTCCAAAATGAGTATGATAGATGGTTTAACTGTTAGTGAACTCGTAATCCGTACTAGAACCTATTATGTACAGGTTTGAGAGGTGCATAAGGTGTTTTCTCCCCCTGATGAAGCCGGTGCTTAATGCTATATTTTGATTTTGCATAAAAAATACATGCAATGAATACAATTACCTTACAATCATTAGAAGTAGCCACATAACCAAAATACATGTTAATAGGATGGAGATACGAATTGATTGTGTATGTGTTAATTGTCTTAGTCTCTTAGTGATTAACAAAGACGGAAAAACTCTTTCCTTTCAGATTTTCATTCGCATAATATACGAGTTTATCTAAATCAGGAATTCATATGTTATTGTCTACACTCTTCAAAATAAATTTAGTATGGGAACAATAATGAACTTTGATGAGTTTAAAAGGGAGGAACTATTAACTCTTGAGTAGTTATGCAAAGTATTAAATATGCATATATAATATATTAGACATATAACTGGTCATTAGCTTAACTGGTTTGATTGATTAGTAGTGTGTGAAACCAAACCAAACCAAACTAACTAAACTATATAACCAAACCAAATGAATTACTCTAATTAATCAAACCAAATTATTCGAATAATACCAGTTAAAAATGGTTACCACCCTAACCACCCAAATTATTCGAATAGTACAAGGGCATGTTTGAAGTAAAAAATAGTAGAGGGGCATGTTTGATAAAACGTCATAGTAGAGGGGCATATTATACCTATAACCCTTTATTATACTATAAACGAAATTCCAATTGCAATAAAGACCTAATTAGGTCTATTTTCTCCTTATGCCTATTCGATTTTTCCCCCAACAACCCTGAAATTGTCTAGCGACAACGGCAATTCCACTAGTTTTGATATACCAATTAAAACTGCAAGTGTAAAAAGAGCATTTTCAGCTTGATTTATATTAAGAACAAGTTTCTAAGTCGATTTGGCGACAGTTTGCTAATACTTGTTTAGTAAGATACATTGAAAGAGACTTGTATAATAGTGTAGACAACAAATGTTTTTGTGTTTCTTTCACTATATGAAATTCTTTCGTAGTTGTTTCTGAAAAGTATGATTGTATAATCGATTATTTTTAATCTATGAACGAATTATTTGGATATAATTATTTTTTATTAAATAATTCTTTTATTAGATACTTATATATTTTAGTTATGAAAAGAGGACAGTGGTGGTTTGAAATGCTGCATCCGCCACCGCTAACCACCTCGTTTGAACGACCTTAATTCGCATGGCAAAGTGAGAAGAGAGGGGAGGTAAAGACAAATGGGCAAGAGCTCCCGCATCGAAGCCGACAACTAGGGATGACAATGGGTCGGGTTGGGGCGGGTTTTGCCAAACCCGGGGTAAAACCCGCTGGGTTTGAAAAACTCAAACCCAACCCGCTGGGTATCCGCGGGTTGATGGGTACCCGTGGGTTTTTTTGGTAAAATATTTATAAAATAATAATTAACAAGAAACTATCAAAATAAAAATCAAGCATAAATCTCACCATACAAACTATCCATACATAAAACATCGTTCTAGAAAATTCAAGCAAATCATACACTATCCATACAAATTGTTCAACTCCAATCTAGAAAATTCAAAGTTACAAATTATCCATACACAACATGATTAATTAAAGTTTCCTCCTCCTTGAGAACTTGAACATTGTCATCTTAGCTTCACTCTCAGCTCCATAACATCGACTTCATTCTACAGAATTAGGTAGACCAAAATTAGAAATGTCTCCACAAACATAAGAAAGATGGATTTTTTTAAAGAAGATAGTTATCCTTTGCCAGAAGGGCTTGATTAAAATCCTCAAAGAGACGGAATCCCAGGCCACCATCATGCTTGCTCCCGCAAAGCTTTCGCCAGGACATCCAATGAATTCACTTGGACGACATAGAGTCTCTGGCAACATAAAGCAGGTCGTATCCGCACAAACTGAATTGTTCAGGTGATACTTCAATGTTATTCCATTGATAATTTGACATGTATAATTTCAAATATCTCGTTTAGTTTAACCATTCACACGTGACAGACGAGTAAACGGGTAAATGAGTTATTTTCAAATAAGACGGAAATTGGACTCAGTTTATTAATAACCAAACACCATAAGCATAAAGAATATGAATCGCTATTTGCCGCCCTAGTACTTACTATTTGCTGCCCATAGTTCTAAAATGTAAGACGATTTTGCCCTTCTTCCAACTAACCCTAAATCTATCTAACCCATCCCCTCACAACCTCCTCCCTCTTCCCACAACAGTCTCCGCCGACCACTTCATTCCTCCGACCCTTTCATCATTGCTCCCACCGCTGACCCCTCCATTCCTACGACCTGGTCCCACTGACCCCTCCATTCGTCCAACCTCACTCCCTCCCCTCACAAAGTCGCTTGCGTTGAAGAGGAAAGAACTCGTCGCGGGTGCTGTCGTCGCCGACGTAGAGGAAGGAGCTTGCCGAGAAACTAAATGTCGTGGACAGACGGGGTCCGAGAACAGGCGGCGGACAAGGTCTGAGACCCGACGTCGGACGGTTACTGCTTTTTTTCTTTTCAAAAATTGTTTTTGAATTATTAATGATTTATTTATTAATTAATTAAGTGTAAAATACCATAATTAGAATTTTTTCCCCGTTGAATCAGCTGCCTTTCCATTGAAATGAAAACAGTGAGACCAAATTAGCCTCACCCAAACTGATTACAACGAGGGGCAATCCCAGCGTGGAATTACCCGTGAAACAGAGACAGAACAATAAAACCAAATCAAAACCCCCCTCCCACTATACTACCAATGACTACCCTCTGGACTGCAATAAACGGAAGACCCGCCTGTTGGCAATCATGCATCAGCATTGGGGAATCACTAATTACAAACTGTAAATCTCTTTTCCAAAGTTCTGCAACTACCTCAACTTCTCGTGGCCTCTCCCCATGAATCCTTCGACACCTCTCCTGCCAGATTGAAGGTGATGAAAGAAGTCCAAATCAAACAAAACCTCCCCAGAAGTGATCGTTTCCTCACAATCATACACGCCTCTAAGAGCCCGGAGTCCCACATGCTACGTCGTAAACCTAGATCAATGCCACTTAGCATCCTCTGCGAGAAACTACATTCAAAGAACAAATGATCTCTCGTCT